TAGGGTTTAGGGCGGGTTTAGGGCTTAGGGTTTAGGGTTTAGGGGTTTAGGGTTTAGGGTTTAGCGTCAGGGTTCAGAGTGTTCCTGCCAAACGGGGTCGAAGCGGGTTGCTGTAAGGGATCCACAAGGGGCTGTTGTTTGGGGACAGAATGTACTGTAATTATGTAGGCACTATAAGGGGATGTCATTGCTGAGTGTAATACGGAATTGAGGAGAGGAGTATACCTTAAATCACAAGTGGCTTCATTTTCCGTAAGGAAGGGGTGTTGTTCTCTCTGCGTACAAATTCATTGTGCGGCTGTATGCTTTTGGGGTATAGGTGTCCTGGTTTAGGATTTAGGTCTCTTTTTCCCAAGCCCTAAATCTTAAACGCCCTAAAGCCTAAACCCTGATATAGGGTACCCTAAACCCTAAACCCTAAACCCTAAGTTTACATGTTTAGGGTTGCAGGGCCTTAGAGCGTCATCGTGCGGTGTTGTACATTTCTAGAAGGGTCTTGGGGCCTTGGAAGCCCTGAAACCCGAGCCCTGCAACCTCTACCTAAACTTTGATTCGGTTTAGGGTTTAGGGTTTAGGGTTCAGAAGTGGAGATCTTTATTGTTTCGGTTTTTATTTTTTGCAGGGCCCAAAAAATTAAGAAACGGGTTCTTAGGGGACGTCCTCGTCCTCCAATTCCAACGCGGAAGCCAGAACAAATGATAAGTACTACCCTCCATCAAAAGTTCTGTATTGGCTTCCGAAGAAGTCTTTAAGGTGTGCGCCAAGGGCCGGTGGTAGCCAGAGCAGATCTGACCCTAAACTGAAGACTTGGGGGTGTTTTGGGGGGTTTTCCTTACGAGGATCGTGGTGTCTCGAGTTTGCCTTAATGCCACTCGTTTTCTCCAACTTTTCAGGTATCGCCGAAGGAATCAGCCCAAACCGTTCAGAGGTTTAGTTTCGTTTTTTTGCAGGTTTCGGGTTTAGGGTGTCGAGGCATCCGCGCCATAGAAAGCAGCATTTTGCAGAGCGGGCAAGAATCAGCCCAAACCGTTCAGAGGTTTAGTTTCGTTTTTCTGCAGGTTTCGGGTCGAGGCATCCGCGCCATAGAAAGCAGCATTTTGCAGAGCGGGCAAGTGGGAGCTTCCGAGACCTATGGGGCAACTTAAATGTGATACAGGGGCCTAGTAGTTATCAATATTCTTCCTTCGGCATCTTATGATATTCATACTAGAATGCGCAGCAAAACTCCAGACCCCTGTTGAAAATAATAGGAGACCGCCACTCTAGACCCTAGAAGAACAGGATCCTAATTGTGACCCTAGAAGAACAGGATCCTAATTGTGAGCCCTAGAGCCTGAGCCTTCGTAAACGGAGACCCTGAACCCGAACAAAGGGACCCTAAAGCACTTACAGGAGAGGAGATCGTAAAAGCCTAAAGCCTATACCCTAAACTCTAGACCTTAAGCCCTAAACCCTAAACCATGAACTCTAAACCCTAAAGCTTAAACTCGAAGCAGGTGCCGCTTCCCCAGGCCGTGATTCCCCGCTTCAACTGGTGAGGTGCAGGCAGGAGTGTGGGGGTTCCTTGAATCTAAGGTTAGAAGGATGGGCCCCTAATATGGACCCTTAGGCCTTTCTAGGAACCCTTCAGGGTACATATAAAGGGTATATAGTAGGTGTATAAGGATGCCTGGGTTAAGGGCCCATACTAGGGGCCCATGGGTTCAACCTCAGATTTGGGTTTCGGGTTCCGGTAAGTACTGTAAGGGTTTTGTGGGGATTCTATGTTCCATATTGGGTTCCTATAAGGGTGTTAGGGATTCTATGTTCCTTTTATGGTTCATACAAAAGTTTTATAGGGATTTTAGGCTTTCATGTCTTGGTTCCCTCAAGTTTTGGGGATTTGGGGCTCGAGGAATCGGGGCTTCATGGATTCATTTTGGTTTTTGCACCCTAAACCCTAAACCCCAAACCTTAACCCCTAAACCCTAAACCCCAAACCAAACCCCTAACGTTAAACCCTAAACCCTAAACCCCAAACCCCAAACCCTAAACCCTAAACCCGAAACCCGAGACCCCAAACCTTAAACCCCTAACCCCTAAGCCGGTCTTGAGCTTCGGGATGGGGGCCCCGCACTCACTGGGATCAGCCACGCTAGCTCGGGTTGAATCAAAAAAGACCCGAGCCTGCCTGTCGTGGGAGTTCAGAGTCTGTGCAGGCTTTAGGATTTAGGGGTTTAGGGTTTGGGTTTGGGGGTTTAGGGTTTGGGGCTTAGGGTTTGGGGGTTTAGGGGTTTAGGGGTTTTGATGGTTTAGGGTTTGGGGGTTTAGGGGTTTAGGGGTTTTGAGGGTTTAGGGTTTTAGGGTGAAGAAACTCTCACATCTTCGAAGCCTCAAGTTTTCGAATATGCCCCATCACCCACGCCGACCTAATGTGCATCTGCGCGATCTGGATACGTGCAGGCTGGTGCACTGAGTGCCATTGACGAGGGCAAGCTGTGACCCTTTTCATAGCAGTTAGAATGCATATTGCACACACCATAACAAGCAAGATAACCCCCCAAAGCCCTATTCTAGTCACTAAGGTCCCTGCATTACGCTCGTTTGACGTGTTTCGGGTCGTAGACCCCTGGACTTAACTACACGTGTTAAGCCGTAATCAGAAACCTACCCCACGCCCTGTACGCTGTCACCCCTTTGTTCAGGCCCCTATGAAACATCAGGATGTCTATATCCTTATTGAAAGCTTGCTGACCCTTACGACTGCCGTCCCGCCACATACAGCCATGCACTAAAGAGCCTTTGATGGAGCTACAATAGCTGTGCAGATACGGGCGTGAACAATAAGTAGTCCTCTCCCTAAAGATTCCTTATACGAAAATTCGAGAAAGAGTACAAACACTTATTCTAGTTCTTCGGGCCCGCGTGTTACACATAAATATAGATTAATATACCCCACCCCCTCCAACCCCATGCTAATTCTTCAGGCCTAAACCCTAAACCCAAGTTTTTTAGGCCGCCATCTAGCGGGTTTAGATCTGAATTTCAAGGCCAAGGCAAAATTTTCTTCAGCGTTTGCCGGGCAGAGCTTTAAGGTTGAGGCTTCAGGGTTCAGTTTTTGTAGGGTTTTTAGGGTTAAGGGTTTCGGGTGTTTAGGGGCCGCAGTCGTAGCTGCAATATCACTTCGTTGAGGCTCAGTGATTGCCATACCGTCACGCTAGAAGCACTTGTGCCAGGCGTCCTTCGAGATTTTTCCCATCCACTTTCGCTGCGAGCGAGAGCGTGAGCGGTCAAAACATAGAGGAGCCGGGGATGTTTTGCCTAGACTTGACCCACTTGCCACCCAGCCCGAAAACCCACAGCCCGAAAACCCTAGCTGGGGGTTCATAGACCGTCATCAGTAGCGCCTTGATTGCGTGACGACGTTGATGGTCGCCGCCTTACCTGTGAGCCTACTTGCCCCGGATGGTCCAAGTAAGTCCCATTGCCACCAGCAGAAGAGCGTAAAGCCCAACTCCAGAGTGTAATAAGCCGCATGATGCAGGATCCGGAGGCACATCATCATGATGTTGACCAACCCAAAAACCCTAAACCCTTAACACCAAACCGTGACGTGGATACGAGGATGGTGGCGGTAATGATGATTGAAGAAACTACAAAGTATCGGAAGGGAGATTTGAGGTTAAGGTTTAGAAGCTTAGAGATTTTCTCATGGATGTTTAGGGTTTAGCGTTTAGGGTTTTGTACTTCGTTTCGAGGCAGTTTGCGTAGTGAGCTGAAATGAGATCATCAATTTGAACAGCTCCACAGGGGTTCGGGATCTGAGGATTTCTCATGTTTCGAGACAGGTGCAAACCCTAAACCCTAAACCCCCAAACTAAACCCTAAACCCTAAACCCCAAACTATGTGATATGTCTATATATATAATATATATACATACATACATACATACATACATACATACATACATACATACATACATACATACATACATACACACACACACACATTGCGCCGCGTGTTCCTGGATCTGAGCCCCTCCTAGTGCACCTGACCCAAAGCCCTGGGGCCCGAAGCGCAAACCACAAACCGGTAGTCTTTGAAACCCAACGCTCCAGGGTTTAGGAGTTTAGGATTTAGGGGTTTTAGGGTTTAGGGGTTTAGGGTTTAGGGTTTAGCTGTTTAGGGTTTAGGGGTCTAGGGTTTAGGGTTCGTTTTAGTACCCTCAAAACCGTAGGACATAGCAGGCTGTGACTCTTTCAATATAAGGTGCTGCCCCAAAGCTGTGTGGCCCTTTACCCCCCAAACCCTACAAACTAGTAGGCGATAGCTATTTC